TATATGTTTATTTTTTTGTTTTTGTTTTTGTTTTTGAGACAAGGTCTCACTGTGTAATTCAGTCTGGTTCTGAATTTACTGAATTTACTATATAGCACTGGCTGGTCTTCAACTTGTGGCAGGGTTCGTGCCTCAGCCTCCCAAGTACTAGGGTTATAGGTGTGCATACCAGTATGCCCGGCAGGAAGGAAATTTTCTTTTCATGGTGGTGGGGGATGGAACCCACAGCCTTTGCACTGAGTGACGTCCCCAGCCCTTTTTATTTTATTTTATTTTATTTTTTTATTTTGAGACAGGGTCTCACTAAGTTGTCAGATTGTAAAGACTGGGCTCGATCTTGTGATCCTCCTGCCTCAGCTTCCCAGAGTGCTGGGATTAGAGGTGTGCATCACCCCTGGTTTGCACTTAATAGTAGGCTTTTCATCATCTTTGTGAACAACTTTCTTGGGTGCAAGACAGCCCATTAAGTGGATTTTCACAGTTGCCTTCACTGTGGCCTTAGAACTCCTTGTCTAGAAGGGAGGGATTGAAATGGCCAGCGTGGCCTATGTGTTTCTGTCTTTGCTCAGATATGGGCAGCTCTATGTCCTCTTCCTGCGGCATCATTCGCGGACCTCCAATAGCACCGGAGCGGAGGTGGTGTTGTATCATCTACCACGGTACGGTTTGTGCTTCCTTCCCCTCCTTCAGCTTGTGAAATATGAACCAAAGCCTGTGGATCACTTTCTGACCTTTCTCTCTACAGAGAGGGCGCCTGTAAGAAGATGCACATCCTGAAGTTAAACAGGACTGGGAAGTTTGCCCTGAACGTGGTGGACAACCTGGTCGTCGTCCATCATCAGGACACAGAGGTCTGAGTTGGGTGTGGGACTGTGATCTGGGTTAGGCAAGTTACGGTTGCTTAGCACTGTGGGTTTGGGCCCTTGCTGACACCTTAGTTCAGCAGGATTTACTTCCTGTCAGGTCAGTGTCACCGCACAGGCGGGACATAGGGAGGGCACCTCCCTCCCCGCCAGGCAGAGGAATGGTAGCCATCTGGGGTGTGAGAGGACTGAGTCCCCCTCCATCCTCTGGCTCCCTATGTCTCCCCTTTCATTAGTACCACAAAGTTAGGGGATTTAGAGTGGGGGAGGAGAAAGGGCAAGGATAAGGATGAGTTTAAGGAAGAGAGAAAGAGAAAAGAAAAAACACTGTGGGGATTGGCAAACTTTCTGTTCAAAGAACAAGGACTAGATGGCTTTTTTTTTTTGGCACGTGGAATTAAACCTAGTACCTCATTTTTTCACTGCGACTGAACTGCATTCCCAGCCCTTTTCCTTTTTTTTTCTTTCTTTTTTTTTTTTTTTTTGTACTGGGGATCGGAACTTGGGACCTTGTGCTTGTGAGGCAGGCAGCGTCACCACTGAGCTGAATCCCTGGCCCACTTTTTCATTATGAGAGTCTTGATGTTGTTCTGGCTGGCCTTGAACTGGTGATTCTCCTGCCTCAGCCTCCCTAGTAGCTTGAATTCCAGGCCTGTGCCACTGTGCCCAGTTTAGAAAGTACTCCTTTATGATCAGAGTTTGGTCTTTCTGGTGGAATTGGGTTTGGTATTTTAAGTGGTTTAGAAAAAAGTGATTCCCAGACAGGCGATGAACCATTGCAGAAGATAACACAAGATTTGAGCCTCAGAACAGTTATCTGAGCCAGCCAGGCTGGGAGGTCCCTGCAGAACCCCGGTGTCGCACAAGACTGTGACCTGTGTGCATCGCCTGTGGGCACCAGTGACAGGGCTTGAGGATCATGGTGTGAGGCTGAGGGGCCCAAGAGATCCTAAACCAGCGCTGTGCTGTGGCCAGTCGGGCGTGTTGTGTAGACAGTCCCTCCTGCTCTCCTGTGGTGACTGTCCTGCCTCTGAGCAATGGAGGCGTTGCACGAGCAGGCAGAAGGGATAGGCCGCGCTTGTCAGGCGGTGGGAGTGAAGAGCCGTGCCTTGATTAGCATTTTCCTCCTCAAAGAGCCCGAGCCGGGTGGGATGTGATGTCGCGTGTTCTCTGCCCGCAGACGTCTGTGATATTTGACATCAAGCTGCGGGGCGAGTTTGATGGCTCTGTCACCTACCATCACCCGGTGCTTCCGGCCCGCTCCATCCAGCCCTACCAGATCCCCGCCGCCGGTGAGTGTGGGCCAGGAGGGGATGCCTGGCCGTATTCTAGCTGCGGTCTTGGTTTTTCCCCCTTTTGTGATATAGAGATCGATCCCACGGCCTTTGCTCAGAGCTGCACTTCCATCTCAAGCCCTGGTCTTGTTAAGTAATCAAGTTGTCCAGACTGGGCCCAAACTTTACATCCGCCTGCCTCAGCCTCCCAGGGTGCTGGATTATAGGCTGTGTTCTTGCCGTGATCTTCGGGAGTTGTGTTCACATGGGGATGAGATGAGTCTACAGGAATTCCCGGATCTGTTTGAGTTGGGGGCTTTTTATTTTTGCTTTGCTTCACTGGGGATGGAACCCGGGGCCCAGGCATTGTAGTCAGGTGCTCTGCCACCGAGCCACACCCTAGCCGATTTCTGCTTTTCAAAAAATGCCAGGGCCAGGAATTTAGCTCATTGGTGCCACCGTCTGCCTTCCAAGTGCAAGGACCTGAGTTCTATTCCTGGTACAAAAAGAACAAAACAAAAGATGCCAACTCCTGCTGATGTGTAAGCTAACGTTGTGTTGTCACAAACATCTTAGAAATGATTCTTCTTTGGATAAAAATAGCCAGCGATGTAGAGAGTTTAAATGCTCACTGGCCTGGACCGTTTTCTCTTTGCCTGAGCTGGGGTTTGGCTCGTGAAGTAGCAGCATGTTCTCTGGTGACCGGTGGTTACACAAAGAGCCCGCAGCTGTGGTTCTTAGGGTTGTTCCAGACCTTCCTCCGCCTCCTGTCTGAAGAGGTACAGGAAGAAGTAGGAACAGAGGTCAGGATTTCAGAAAACCAGCCATTTGGTTCTTTTTCCTGTCCCCAGTGAAAGTCCATTTCAAGATAGAACTCAGACAATATTCCCATCTCCTTTAAAGGAGGGCAGTGTCCAGCGCAAGTGAGTTAGGGTGGACCGTGGTCAGATGGCTGCTGTGGGCTCACGCTTGGAAATTGGGCGGCCCTGCTTCGTCCTGTCGGGCGATATCCTGGTGTCCCTGCACCTTGCCCGGGGAACAGTGAGAATCGGCTCCTGCTAGGGGTTCGGCTGAAGCCTGCCCGCCGGCACCCCTCCCAGCTCTCCTGATCTGCCCGGAGCTCCCCACTCTGCCGCAGTCAGGAAGGAGGAGCTGGTCTAGCCTTCGGTGTTTTCCCCAGCCCATCACCTGCCCCTGGGTGATGGCTGGATCAAGTGAAATGAGGTGTTTGTGTCTGCTGCTCACTTGACTGAAGGTAACTGGTGGTGAAGTGGGGAAAAACTACTGTAAATGTTTAGTGTTCAGCTTGGATCTAGTGGTAAAGGACTGATTAAGCAGTTGGTTGCACCCCAGCACCACGATAGAAGAGGCAGATGGGGGCCTGTTAGCTTGTCACATTAAAGCAGGTGCCAGGCATGGTCGCAGTAGTAGTCTGGTAGCCAGACATGGTGGTGCATAGCTCTAATCCCAGTACTTTGGGAGGCTGAGGCAGGAGGATCACGAGGACTTTAAACACTTGAGGGTGTCACCATTGGGCATGTGAGTGTACCAAGGGGACCCGGGCTGCCGGCTCATTAACATCTGCAGTTCAGGTCCTCTGTGTGTGTGTGTGTGTGTGGCGTGTCACTGATGAAGTGTCCAGCCGGGCCCTTGTCTGGGTTTGGGGAGTGTGGTCCATAGTAACCCCTCCCGCCCTGGGGTCACTGGCATGGGGGGACCCAGCCGAGCTGGAGTGGCTGCCTGGTGGCACATGGCACTGTAAGTGGTTGGCACGGGCCTGCTTCGGCCTTCTCTGTGCACAGCGATCCTGCGAGTTGCTGCGGTAATGAAGCCTTAGCCACTTTTCCAGTGCAGCACTCTCGGTGCATCTCGGCATTGTGACTCGGGCTGAGTTCTCCAGTCCCTAACAGGTAGATATGATGTGACGGGTCCTCTTTGGTCCTCCATGATTGGAGCCAGGGCCCACCTTCCTCCTGGGGACACCGTGTGTGTCACCGGTGGGGTAGCGCCGCACTGTCTGCCCTGCTGCATCTCCAGCCTGGCATTTCCAGCTGCTGGTCACACTGGCTTTCTTACCCATAGGTCCTGCGGCGGTGACCAGCCAGTCCCCTGTCCCCTGTAAACTCTGTATCCTTTCTGAAGGCCGTGACCCAGGGCACAGCAGAGTGGCCACCCTCCCCATACCTGGGCGCCCCCTCCCTGCTGCCAGGCCACGGTGGAAGGAGCTGAGCCCTGGCTTCTCACCTTCCTGGGCGCATGGCGTGGCCTCACACACGGGCGGGCGAGTGCTTTGTTTCATCTCTTCCCGATGTAGGATTTCCTATAACTCGTAGATTCTTCGTCATGGATCGTGTTCCAGCCTGACATCATCATCAGCGCCAGCCAGGGTAGGTGCGAGGCATGCTCTGCAGGGCGGACATGGGGCTCGTTGATGTAGAGGTTTCGGTGTGAGTCACTGAGGATGGTGGCATTGTTCTTCCTCCCCTCTGCCTCTCCTGTGTGTGTATTTTATCAGTCAGGAGTCAGGCTGCAGCGTGGTGCGGCTCTTAACAGCGGCACCCTACCCACTGCCCTGTCAGCCTGTTGCAAGGAGTCACCCGTGCAAAGTGTGGCTGTCAGGCCCGTTGTCAGAATGTTCTGCGTGTCCTGGCTCCAGGATGCTTCTTAGGAGGAAAGGGCCATTAACCATACTCGCAGTCGCCCCAGCCCGGCCGATGCTTGGTGAACCAATCGGTGGCAGCTCTTCTGCTCTGCACTGTAGGTTAAAGCTGCTGTTTCTTAACATCCAGGTTACCTCTGGAACCTGCAGGTGAAACTTCAGCCCATAGTAAATCTCTTGCCAGATAAGGGAAGACTGATGGACTTTCTCGTCCAGAGGAAGGAGTGCAAGATGGTCATCCTGTTTGTCTGTTCACAGAGTAAGTCAATGCCTCTTCCCCGTCTGGCGAGGTGGCCACTCAGGTAGACTGCCAGCCTCCACCCGTATTGAAGGGTGGGTTATTTCATCCCCTGGAAAGGCTGTGAGTTACAAACACAGCTTGCAGAGCCTGGTAGGAAAGACCAGATGAAAGCAGACTTCCCGGGACACGTGTAGAGGCCACCATTGCCAGCTTTACACTCAGTCTTAGCCAAAAGGCCAAGGAGCGATCACCATTGCTAGCTTTAAGGCAGACATCTTTCAGAATCCAGGACACTAGCTGCTATGTTGTTACTTTGAATCTTACACTGAGCCAGGAGGGGTGATGCATACCCAGTCCCACTACTCAGGAGGCTGGAGCCCACGAATTTGAGAGCTGCCTGGACACTGAAGTGAGGGCCCATCTCATAGACAAAAACCCCAAGAATCTTCTGTTGATAGCTATTTCTTTCCTCGTCACTGGAAGGCTTGCTCTTTCCAGGAGTCAGGTCTCTGAAGCATAACATTTCCCATAACACCCTTTCAAGGAATGTTTGCCTGGTAAACCTGTAAGACTCCTTTATCAGCAGTGTGCTGCGGTTCCTGTGATTCTGTGCTTGGTCTGATCTGCGTGCCCATTGTGTCTTTTCCAGTGCTGAGTGAGTCAGACAGAGCCACACTGCCTGTGATAGCCACTGTTTTTGATAAACTCAACCACGAGTATAAGAAGTACCTGGACGCCGAGCAGAGTTACACCATGGTAAGTTGGGTGGATGGCCAGGAAGTCTCCGCTCCCCCCCATGCATTTCCTAGGTAACACAATGCTGTCACGGAGTTTATTGCATGGCAGAGGACAGGGTGGCCATAGGACACGCAGAGTCCCTGCATCCCACCAGCTTGAGGCTGCCCCTCAGAGCCGTCACCATTGTTGCTTTGACTGTTAGATCTGTTGTATCTTAGAGACTGATCCCCAGCCTGCCTGTTAGATAAGAAAGCCAGGCCCAGCTGTGCGTTATGTTCCACGTCACCGGAGCCGGCACTTAACAAAGCAGGAATGTGATTTCTGTTGTTTGTTGCTACTTCCTTCTTTCCCTTGAGGTTGTAGTAACTTCTGGTGTCCTGGTAAGGTGTTAGTACTGTGCTCTTTACCGGGAGGCATCAAGGGCTTGTAGTGAAGGGCTGGAAGGAATGAATGTGGCTGTTACCAGGTGTGATGGAGTAAGTACAGCGTATTTTCTAAGGTGAGGAAGTAGAACAGGTTAGGCCAGATGGGATCAGTTGTTTCACTTTAAGGACCAGGTTAGTCCTAGGGCTGACAGCGGAAGTGGCTTGAAACAGTAACTCGGGACCCATCCCCAGAGCAGGCTGCGGAAGGAGGCCAGGCTGCCTGGACCCTGCGTCTGTCTCTGTCCTCTGTCAGCCCTTAGGGTGGCCGAGCCCTGCTGGACTCTTCTCCTGGCCCCACTCTTGGTGTCCTGGGCAGCAGGAACCAGGAGAGGGGACCCCATGGGGCAGTTTCTGGGCTTTCCTGACCGTGGCTTCGAGGACCCACACGCAACAGTGCACGCATCCCTGGAGCTGTAGGAAGGTGGGGTCTCGGGATGTACCCCACCGCTATAAGCGAATCTGCATGGGTCTGTGCTGCTTTGAAATATGAGGCAGAACAGCGAGGGTCTCAGTCACACAGAGGTACTGTGGCTTCCACTGAGGGACCCCACAGGCCGGCTGGAGCTCATGGATAGAGCACTTGCCAGGCAATCACGAGGCTCTGGGTTCCGTCGCCAGCACTGCAGAAAAAGAAGAAAAATGCCAACATAGACTCATTGCAAGAGGTGTTCATTTATTGTCAACTAGTTTTCTAAAATGACGCAACCAGCCATTTCATTTTTATTAGATAACAGTTGCATAGTCTAGGATTAAGAAAATTAGGGAGGTTAGAAATTTTCAGAAGTTAAAAAAATATGTATTTGAAAACTTTTAGTTTGACTTGGTTCAACCCACAAAAATCCTGGAGTATTTTCAGAATGGCCAACTGTGACCTAACTCTTCTCAGCTGGACAGGAAGTTTTATGTAAGTTGTGATAGGAAAGGCTTTGGTTTGTGTCTGAGGTTCACATCTGGGAATCCAGTCTTTTTGGAAATGACTATACTCAGCACCTTCTCTCTAGAAGGTTTTGCCGTAACAAAGCGTGTCATTTATCGTCTTAGGCTGTGGAAGCGGGGCAGAGCCGCAGCAACCCACCTCTCAGAAGGCCTGTGCGGACCCAGGCCGTGGTGGACCAGTCCGATGTTTACACCCACGTGCTGTCGCCCTTCACAGAAAACAAGGTGCGCAGCGCCACAGCTCTGACTGAGGGCCCCCGCACGGGAGCGTCGGGGGAGCTGTAGAACTCAGGCTGCGGCAGGCCTGGCTTCTGGTGCTCAGATTTGTGTGCAGAGCCAGTAAAACACGGCGAATGGGAATGAGTGGGGCTGGCTGGGAATAAGCGAGCTCCTGTGAGCTCCGCCCTTTACAGAGCCTCTTCCCTCTGCAGGAGATGCCGCACAAGTTCGTGATAGCCGTGCTGATGGAATACATCCGCTCTCTGAACCAGTTTCAGATCGCAGTGCAGGTACCTTGCAGTCGGCACGCGTCACCCCGAGTTAGTTACAGTCGTCTTCGCTGAGAAGATGGCTCTCTCACGTGTACCTGACACAATTCCGAGGGGCTTTCCTGACATTCCCACGTTGTCTTTAGTCGATCGAGAAGTGGAAGGTGAAGACGCTGAAGCCACTCTGTGGGGACAACACTGCCCCTGCTAGTCAGTGTGCCCATCGGTGGCACCTGGGTGGTGTGGAAGTGACCCGTCTCCTTCCGTTTCAGCATTACTTACATGAGCTGGTGATCAGGACGCTCGTCCAGCACAACCTCTTCTACACGCTGCACCAGTTCCTGCAGTACCATGTGCTCAGTGACTCCAAGCCTCTGGTGGGTGGCTCCGGCCTTCACTTTGTCGTGACTGAGAATTTGCAGTGTCACCCTTCAGCTGAGGCCACTGTGAAACTGTCTTTCAGGCCTGCCTGCTGCTGTCCCTAGAAAGTTTCTACCCTCCCGCCCACCAGCTGTCTCTGGATATGCTGAAGGTAACGCCTGCCGTCACAGCGTCGTGCAACACGGTCTCCGTCCCTGTTTCTGGCCCTCACCTGCACATCTCTCCCCTTTATTTCCAGCGGCTCTCGACTGCCAATGACGAGATAGTAGAAGTCCTGTTGTCCAAACACCAGGTGTTGGCCGCCTTGAGGTTCATCCGGGGCATTGGTGGCCACGACAACATTTCTGCACGGAAATTTTTAGATGCTGCAAAGCAGACCGAAGACAACATGCTCTTCTATACTATATTCCGGTTTTTTGAACAGCGAAACCAGCGTTTGAGAGGGAACCCTAATTTCACACCAGGTGAGTGCAGTTGCAGATCAAAGACGTGGGATTCCCACAAACTAGAAGAGTAGCAAGAAGGCACTGTCAGGAGAGCAGCCTTAGGACTCCTGTGTTTACCATTAAACGTCCTGCAGCCCCCAGCCCTCAGCCGCACTGTAGTTGAAGACTAGGCAGGCTTAGGCAGATGCAGTTGGACTGTGCTCTGGGTTCTTACGGGCTCTGGAAGAATCAGGTCAAAGTGAAGTCATGGCTGCGAGTTCTAAATGGCTGGGGTTTATGAAAGTTACAGTTTCGGGTAAGAAACAGAAATCTTTGAGTCTGATTCAGAGTTGGACTCTTGGGTGTGCTGGAGTACAGTGCAAGGTGGCATTTAGTGTCCGAGGGACACTAGCATCTCCTGTTTGCTGTGCTGGTCCTCTAAGCTGGGGCTCTGAAGGTCCCAGTTTGCAACACAAAAGGCAACCCCAAAACTTAGGAAAACAAGGTATTTTATTAAAGAAAAATAAGTTAGAACCATTGTACAATTTATGAGCTGTGTTCTTGTTTTTTTCCTTCAGCTGGCGATTGAATCTCTATTTTCCTTTACAGGAGAACACTGTGAGGAACATGTTGCTTTTTTTAAACAGGTTTTTGGAGATCAAGCTCTCATGAGGCCTACAGCATTCTGAAATTATTTGCTAGGTTTTTTTTTTAATATAAAAATGTGTAAAAAGTTAATTTATTGCATTAATAAAGCTCTTTAAACTACAAAATGTTATAATAAAGTGTATGTATCTACAACACTCTCAAATGTTACTAAAAATATGGTGGAGAATGTGTGATGGCTTACTCCTAAAAAAAAAAGAGGTTGTATGGATTGGCCTTCAGAAAGTGTTGGTGGGCAGTTCACATCGCCAGCCGCCCCAGGGTCTGTCCTTTTGCTGCAGACAAGGTTCCTTTCTTGAAGAGACGGGGGTTGGAGGGCACTTCAGTTTCCGGTGGTCTCCTTCAGACTTCATTAATACTGCTTCACAAGTCAGATGTGCATTCCTGAGTGTACACGCCCGGGGCCTGCTGCCTGGGGCCTTGCAGCACTCAGCTCAGCCGCACAATGCAAGGGCAGCCCATTGGTCCACAGCCCGGCCCAGAGACAGTTCAGTCACCAAGCCCCAGAGGGCTAGAAATTCAGGAGTCGGTCTCTCTCTGTGCCTCTATATCGTTCTCTAGTGGTGCGAATTTTAGCTTTATTTACTGATGGGCCTGGAAGAGAAAGAATAACTTGTTTCTTCAAGAGAAAAGGAGCTAGTTTATATTGGATTGCAGTAGCAGTTCCTGACAGAAACTTTCTCTTCTGTTTCAGTGTTTCATCTTAGTTACAAAGTGGTAGGGCCAAAAAAAATTTTTTTTTGTTTTTTGAGACAGGGTCTCACTATGTAGTTGAGACTGACCTGGAACTCACTATGTAGCCCAGGCTGGTCTTGAACTCACAGCGATCCTCCTGCCTCAGCCTCCTGAATACTGGGATTACAGGTGTGTGCCACCACGCCCAGCTAGGGCAAAATTAATTCTGCCCTCCTTTCAATAAGGGGCCATTTGTGTACGATGGAACAGTTACAGAAAAAGATCATACCAGCCACTTCCTAATAAAATAGTTTGGACATTCATGAAGCTCCTGGATAGGACTTTGTTCTTTAAAACAGAGAACTGTTACTCTGTACTGTCGGATGACTATTAGTACAAGTTCAAGTACTACCATGAAAGGATGCTTTAAGATACAAATTTTTTTTGGTACCGGGGATAGAACTCCAGTCCTTGCACTTACGAGGCAAGTGGTGGCACCACTGAGCTAAATCCCCAGCCCAAGATACAATTATTTTTAGTAACGTGCTTTACCCTATGTGACCTAAAAATAAGAACTCTTACCTATGTAACTGAGGAGGACAGGGAGAAATACCAGGCCGTGAGTGGCTCCCAGTAAGACCATAGCTAAATACATCCTGAAGTAAAATATCTGGAAAATCTGAGATTTGGCAAAAGCCAGCACCACAATTCCTCCAAATTTTGTAAGTGTGATTCCACTGAATACCTAGAACAAGAGAACGGTGGTTAGACACCACTTTTATCAACCTATTCAAATGGAACACTTCCTCATATAAGACGTTTCAGTTTAAGGTCTGGAGTTGTAAGTTAAGCTGTGCTTAAAATTGTTAAATGAGCCTGGGGGGAAGAAAGTATTTTAAGGGTAAAGCTGTGGAGATTGTGTCTTCTGCCTAAGCTAAGATACTGGGATGAGCTGTGACAGTCACAGGCTGCTCACGGGGCTCTGGGCAGGGTGGCCCCGGGCTGTGCTGTGCTGGCTTCCAGCTCTCCCCAGTCCACCTTCTCAGTTTTCCTACTTGGTCATTGCAAATGTGTGTGGCTTGGGAGAACTGCAGGTCTGTGCAAGACATTGCTATTTCATGAACTGCACGAAAGTCTGTTAGCCGTGGGTGCTGCCTTCCACGCTGAGGAGCCTGGTTGTTTTTCCCACTGAATTTTAGGGTTTCCTCCTCTGAGCAACAACATGGTCACTGCATGGCGCCTTGTGCTGCCTGCTGAGGGTACTCACAGAGCTGCCCATGTGGGCCAGCGCCTCCTCTGCGCGGTCCACCCGCCTGTGCCTGCAGCTCACTGTGAACGCTCTGGTTATGTGGCTGCAGAACTCCACAGAAATGCCGCAGCTCTGGAATAAAGCGCTTCTGTGAGAGGGTGGCTCTCTTCCAGGGGACAGTTCCAGTAGCCATCCCTTCTGAGAGCCGGTGGCCAGGGAACCTGGACAAGCCTGTGACCTACATAACAAAGCCCCACAACACCCACCCAGATCTCAGCAGGAACTTGAGAGCCCGTGGGACCCCGCTTAGCTTGTTTTCTGAGGCTCTGTGTGCCCTGGGCAGAGTGCGTCCCTGTGGAAAGCACAGGCCCGCTGCTCCAAGTTCCACTGACACCTCTGATTCGCACGATCTCGCTGCAAGGGAGGCCCCAAGGGAGTAGAGGGACAGTTTTCTAAGTAAAATTTGAACATCTTGCTGTCTCTGGGCTACAGGCTTTTATAATCTTTGAAGAACAATAAATAAGCTGGGTGTGGTGGTGCACACCTGTAATCCCAGCACTTGGGAGGCTGAGGCAGGAGTTTTGCCATGAGTTTGAGGCCAGCTTGGGCTAGAGTGAGTTCAAGGTCAGCCTGAATTATACAGCGAGACCCGTCTCAAAAAAACTCCAGAATAATAGAAGCAGAATCCATAAACTAGACAGTGAAATCACTGATAAACACTATGAACCAGGATGCAAGTAAAGGGTTAGCGAAAAAGATGAGACTAAGGAGAAAGTGTGTGCTTCTCCCACGTGCCCCCTCTGCACCCTCCACATCTCTCCTGACTAAATGCTCATCCCACCTCGTCACTAGAAGCCAGAGCCAGACTTGTGTTCTCCCCACGGAGGGTTTCTGAGGAATCAGACATGAGTCCCATCACACAAGAGCAACCAGGACTCACCATCACCAAGTTGACCAAAGAAACTGCGTTCAGACTGATGCCCCACAGCCACATGACGCCAAACATGTTGACCAGGATCATGGCGATGGTGACACACATGATGACGGCAGACCACAGCTCGCAGCCCAGGACCACCGTGGTCACCAGAAATATGGATCCCAGGGACACGCCGAGGTTAAAGATGGTGTCATTGACGATGGTCAGGTACTGCTCATAGAAGACGTAGAACACGCTGGAGAGGAGGAGAAAGGCTCGGTGAGCACTCCCGCTGGCCAGGAGCTCACTCCTGCCCAGATGCTCCTGCAAGGCTGAGGCCTGGCTGAGAGGCACCCTGAGAAACCCGTCTGGCTCTGGGACGGTCACTGACACCAAGGAAGGGGTAATAACGTTTGTTTGTAAGCCACTCTGTGCTTATGGATGTTTACAGTGTCCCATAGTATGCTGCAAAGAAGAGAAAAGACTGGATCTGATGGGGAAACTACCTCAGGGCAGTTCCTAAGAATGAGGACACACACTGCCAATCTCTTGCACAGAAAAACTGGCTGTCCCAATGAATTGGCAGTCAGGGGTGTCCAGACATTGCCAGCCAAGAGTTGTGGCTGGAACGGCCTTCCTGGGGAGCCTGGCTTTGCACCTCCTCCTGTGCCAGCTCGCAGCGGGACTCTTCCAGGCAGGAAGCGGCACAGAGTGAGCTCTGCATCTGCAGCTCTCACACTTGGCAGGGCTCAGCAAGCCCTTGATGTGGGCCCTGTGCTTGGGACAGAGCAGCTGTTGGGACCGACGCTGAGGACTGGCCTTCCCGCAGGGCGGCTGGGAAGGAGACGCCCTGGAGCGCCGTTACCTGTACGGGAACACGCGGGAGCTGCTGCCTTTGGCGCTCATGGTCTTGGTGATGTTGCTGGCCACCAGCCGGGCTTTCCTCAGAGCGTCGATGTAGTCCGCGGAGGTCTGCAGCACTGTGTGGTAGGTCATGAAGTACGTGGCGCCGACGCTGGTGTTGTTGCCGAGGAGGTTCACCGCCGAGCCGTAGGCGGCATGGCCCCTGAGGAAGAGCTGCTGGCTAAGCTCAGGACAGAGCCTGATAAGGGACACGGGAGCCTCACTCTGTTCTCGCCCACACTGGCTTCTCTTTACTGCTGTGTGGTGCGCGGCTGCTGGTGTCTATCTGGTTCACTGATCAAACATGTCCCGATACGGAGTTACTCGGTGCTGTTTGTAACAGGAAGCAGGGAAGGGAAGGGCTGGGCTCCAGCCAAGCCCGGCTGTCACCGGCCATGTGGGGGCCCCCAAGACAGTGGTCATCACCCTCGTACAGCTGTGTTCCCTTCCACTTGTTTTCTATAGGCAGAAGCATTCACTCTGTGAGTGAACCAAGTTGCAAGGTCCCACTTCAACTTTATTTTTAAGGGTAGACTTCCGACAGGACCTAGTGTAGGTCCCAAAACAGACACGACACATATGACTGACTGCGGTGGCTGTGAATGCTTACGAGAAACAGGTGCAGCCAGAGTCCACCTCACATGACACGGATGCTTGCTTCCACCCGCAAGAGCTCCCAGGTCGACCGAAGACCTCTAGTTAGCCTCACTGTCCCTAGACCAGATATCCTGCTGCCTGGGGCCTGAGACAGCCGGGAGCTCCTGCGGCTGGCAAGGGCCTGGTGGGCTGCACAGAATCGAGGCGCTCCCTCGTACCCTGCCACACCTGAGTGACTATCCTCTCCTCCCCTCCCACACAGCACGCATAGAACCCAGAGAGCAGCACCAAGAAACACATGGCTGCTGGACGTGGCAGTGCACACCCGTAATTCCAGCACTGTGGGAGGCTGATGCAGGAAGATCACAAGTGGAACCCAGCCTGGAGGACTTGGTGAGACTCTCTCAAAATATAAAATTAAGATAAGAGCAGGGAATGTAGCTCAGTGCAAGGCTCAGGGATGTGGAGGAGGGGCTATGACAAGTGGCCAAGCTAGGGTGAATTCCATCGAAAACCAAGTGTTCTTACAAGGTATCTTAAGTTTCTGCACTTGGACAGCCAGCCTCGAACGGAGGAGGGTAGAGAAGAGGCCCTGTTCCTGTAAAACTGCCTTAACCCAGTCGGCTCCTGGTTTTCTGCTGTGGACAGCTGAGTGGCTGCTTGTCAGGCCCAGCGCAATGGCACTCACCCTTTGCCACACTTGGGGTTAGGGTTGTCAGAAAGGAACATGGGCAGGAATCTCATGAAGTCTCCACCCTGAGGCCTCTGTTTGCCCTCCGGAGTCAGAGCCCTGCAGCGGACGCAGGCAGGGTCAACCACTGGCAGAAAGAAGCAGGGGCAATGGTTAGGGTGTGGGCTTCCAGATTTTAAAAAAATTTTAAATGAGAGATTATCTTCCTAAATCTTTCCCCCTATCTAAAAGCTTCAGCATCATGTGATTTTCACAGTCAATACATTTAGCACATAAAGATGGTTTCTGCAGAGGCAGACCACACAGTTCCTTCCCCGAGTAGGTTTTCTGCTTTGAGGGTGACCTCAACTAGTATCACGAGAGCCCAGGGCTTCCACACTTCTGTTTAGAAAATTCCAGGACAAGCTCAACACTCTTACAAAACTGTGGGGCAACAGTGACACACAAAGGACGTCGTCTCTGCGAAGCTAAGCCAGACACCACGCCAGGAGGCATCGGTGTGGTAGGGAGGGGATGACAATCCCTACCCGGGAAGCAGTCCCCCGGTGGGACCTCCCGGCCACTGTGAGAATGGAGCGTGACAAGCGTCAGAGCGAGGAAAGGGACGCTAACAAAGGGACCAGACCCAGGCTGGACATGTAAACAGGCACAGACCGAGGCAAAATGCAAATGAGTTTGAAGTGATACTGCTGCAAGTTTTCAGAAAAAGCAAAGATCTGGAAAGGAGCGGAATACCCGAAGCATTGCAGAACCGGTCAGTGACGTCGTAGACTCGACAGCAGCAGGACTGCGGTTTCACCCAGTCAAAATAATCGTCAACCCAGGACGAGGGGGCAAAGCCGACCCGGGTGCTAGAGAACAGAGACGGAAAAAGTAAGTTCCCTCCACGAAGAGAAAGTCTTTAGCTCCAGCAGTTTTCCTTGAAACTTAACTTCCCTTTTGCTACCGAAGAAAAATGTTACCATTCAATGGAAAAACCCTTCCAAGTGTCTGGTAGTAAGTTAGTCCTTTGAAAGGTTTTGCTCGGGTAAAGCCAGATTTACAATATATTTTGAATAAAAACAATTTTTCCAAGAAAGTTCATCTTTGAGAGATTTCAGACCGAGGTGACTCTGGTGACAAGGGGGCCGGGGTGCGGGGGTACTGACTAGTTGTCCAGCTGGGCCGCGTTGAAAATCTGCTGCACCAGAGAGTCGTTGTCGCAGCCCATGCCGCCGCACACCATGTTCTGCCCGTGCAGGGAGGTGTAGTCGTGCCCGTCTTCCAGGACAAAGTACACAGGCGGCCCGGCGTGCAGGTAGTGACCGAGGGACCTGAAATAATCTGTGACGTAGGAGTCCTGAAAGAAAGAGCAGAGGACAGGAGGACAGTGGGTGGCAGCCGCCTCTGGCGTGGCTTTGCGATTCTCTTCCAGGCCCCCAGGGCCCCTTCTGCTTGTCCAAGGGCACTTCCCCAAGTAACCCCCTGAGACTGGCGGCTCCCACTCTGGCTGTGCCCGAAGGATAGTCTGAGGGTTCAGAGAGCATTCGGGCCACGCTGGCAGCGCACTGTGGCAGTTCTGTCGCTAGAAACTGCCCACGTGCCTGCAGCACCACGCCCACGTACAGGCTTCGGAAAGGAAAGGACGCATCCAGGGCTGAACAGGGTGAAGTTAAAAAGAAAGCAAGCATCTTACATCTGGCATTGAGAGAGACTGATCCAGTCCGATCTCTGGTTCAGAGAGCATTCGGGCCACGCTGGCAGCGCACTGTGGCAGTTCTGTCGCTAGAAACTGCCCACGTGCCTGCAGCACCACGCCCACGTACAGGCTTCGGAAAGGAAAGGACGCATCCAGGGCTGAACAGGGTGAAGTTAAAAAGAAAGCAAGCATCTTACATCTGGCATTGAGAGAGACTGATCCAGTCCGATCTCTACTTTGTTCAGGACTGCAATATACAGAGTTCAAATCTCGGCTCTGCCACTGAGGAGCTGAGTGACGCCGGACAAATCAGTTACTCTCGTACCTTCTACTTCCTCACTAGTCAACTACAAAAACTAGGAGATGTACAGCATGGCTCCTTGTGTGGACTAAATGGAAAATCCAGGGGTAACCTAGGTTGGAACACAGCAGCCAACTGACATTAAGTGTAAAAATGCTTTCCACTGTGATGACAAGCTAACTGATGTTCCTTAGTGCGCTGCGGGCTCTATGTGGTATATGAAGTGTGAAAAGCCGCCCAGCTGCAGGGGCCTAGGGATGAGAGATTTACTCGGGGACGTGGGTGGCAAGGGGATGGCTCTGCATGCTGACCACGGAGGAGGCTGCGGGGATCTCCGGTGAGAAGATCGGGAGCCACGCCCGGCGCTGCAACGATAGCACCTTCGGGCTCTGCGGCCTGCGCTGTAGCTCTGGCAGGATGTGGTCTAACATGGACAAGGCCCTGTGCTCGGCCCCCAGCACCAAAGTCAGTGTGATTCTGTACTGTTAATGGAAGCTGTACCTTGGGGGAAGCCAGGTGAGGAACCCCGAGCCACCTGTGCTACCTGTGAATTTACAAGGATTTCAAAATAAAAACTCAAAAATTCTAATATTGACAGTGAAGTCCTGTTAAAGACAAACCGTACTGTTTGTACGTTTGGCACATAAACAACTGCCACACTCCCTCCCTGCTGTGTGAGTTCTTACAAAGCACGGGACACATCTGGGGAGAAGAGAAAAGCCCCAGATCGGTTCATACCACGAGCGGCCGCATCCAGTCTTTCAGCAGAAGTGGGGAAAAGGAGTTCCTGAAGAAGCGGAACAGGCAGCCTTCGGAGGCCTGCATGCCTCTCCCATCATCAGCACCTCTGACACAGCAGAGGATGTCCAGCCGGTTTTTCTGAGGGAACAGAGGCCAGAGGTCACAGAAAACCCCTTCTGGCTGCTCCCCGAGCGTCTACATTCCTATCAAATGAGCTATGACCCATTTAACAACTTACCTCCTGACGCTTGATGTCCAAGCCCAAGAGACTCACGAAACAGGTGATCTGAAGGAGGAAGTCGATGAAGACCGCCATCCCCGCAAAGAGGGAGAAGGTGTGCACAGCCGGCATCACTGACAGTCCTCCTACGGGGACATGGGGCAGCGTCACTCCTCGGAGCCCGGGGGCTCCGCAAGTCCCACGTACCCAGGACACAGACACAGCGGCCTGAGCAGGCAGCTGGCTCCCACGTTTGCGGGACCGTCACGACGGAATGGGGACAGGACAGAGTCTGGAGCTCAGTTTCCCGGGTCCTGCTATCCGACACGGTTCAACTCCACTCTCTCAGGCTCACAGGCTCGCGTGCTAATTCACACAGTGCAATGTACAGGTGCCTTCTGTAATGTGAGGGCCTGCTTCCCAGCAGCCACTGAGTCAACACTCTGTCTCCGTTTCTTACCATCACACGAGGGGGTTCCAAGTCCAAGCCACCAGGATGAGATGCAGAAACTACAAATCACAGCCCACAGGCCACTCGGAGCTTACCTGCTCCACGCTACAGCGATCCATTTTAGGATCAAAAAATACTTTTACATAACTGCTAGTCAGTATGTAACAATGAGATAGAATTTGCACAAAAATCTGAGTTCACAGCTTTGAAAACGTTATCAGGCCCTGCAACCCTGGGCTGGCTTCACATCACTGCCACTTTGGATGCAACACTCACACGTGGGTCACCCCCACCCCCACCCCCACTTTACCAAGGTCACCGCAACCTTGGCAGGGTCTCAGCTGCTGGGATCACCACACCTGCACTGGTTTTCTTATAATAGGAGTGAAGAGAAGGCACCTGTGTCCACAAAGGAAACAAGAGGGGGCCCCAGGTTTCAAAAGCACACTGCTTTGAGGAAACATGACTGAGATGCTGACTGTGTGCGTGGTGAAAGACCACTGCCTACAGCGACCCTACAACGGCCCTGCACGAGGTGAGCCGGCGGCTGTGCGGGCACTGTGGTGGGTGACCCACAGACTGTCTTCTCTGATGGAGGGATGTCAGCCAGCCTCCTCTCCTCTTTCTCCACTGCAGGGGTGGGCATGCAGCCTGGTGAAGCTACCTGGTGATGCCTCCCTAAGAAAGAAACGCAGAAGTGCTGTGTCGTGTTTGTTTTATTCTGGCTCCCTGCACTGAGCTATGAGGCAAGCACCTTGCTCACTAATGAGGCTGCTCCCGCAGGGAGCTGGGTGTAAGAGGAGGGAGACCTGCTCCGAACGTGAGGGCAGAGCTTCTCATCCCTGTGCAGCAGGAACTGCCACGTAGCGTTGTGGGTTTTGCAGCCATGCAAGGATGCCATTTTTGTACATCAGCACCCACTGTGGGCACCGAGAGTGCTGCGGGCGGAGGAGCTCCGGGCCTCTGTCATCCTGAACCACGTGTCAGCGCTGTTCTGAAACTTATCATGAGAAAGATGTAAAATGATACCCAAGGTCCTGCCACCCATTTTTCTTATGATCTACTCAG